TTAAAATTGGAGGAAAAATATCAACAGCCTATGCTATGCTAATGACACTACTGTGATAGCTGAAGATGCAAGGGATCTGGAAGCTCTAGTAATTAAAGTTAAGAAGCACACTGAAAAAATTGGATGAAGGTTAAACCAACCAAACTAATAACAGCAGGTACAGAACCAGTCTTATAAATGACAGTGAAGATACTGAAGTGGTAGGTACATAGCTTCTACCTTTTAGGATCAACTATTAACAGTTAAAGAAGCCAACACTAAGGAAATATGCTATCAACTAGCACTTGGTAAGACAACCACTAAGGCCTTGGAAAAATATTCAGATGCCATGATGTGTCTTACAAAGATCAGAATTGTGCAGGCAATGGTTTTCCCTGTGACACACTATGGTAGCAAAAGTTGGACTTTGAAGAAGCAGGAGAGAGTATTTATACTTTTTGAATGGTACTGGAGAAGACTTCTAAGAATACCATGGATAGCCAAGAAAACAAAGAAATGTGTCATAGAGCAAATCAATCCAGAGTTCTCACTCAAGGCACAAAGGACTAGGTTCAAATTATATTTTGGGCACATTATGTGGAGATTTAACTCTCTTGAGAAGTCTACAATGCTGGGAAAGATGGAAAGAAAGAGAACAGGACAACTGGCAATAAGGTGGATGGACTTGATTCCAGTAGTGATAGATGTACCATTGGAAGACCTGAAGAGTTAGGTTGGGGATAGATCATCCTGGAGGCAATTTAGCCATATGGTCAACAAGAGTTGACACTGACTTGATAGCACATAATCAATAATCAATAAGGAAATCTAAAGGCAGAAAACACTGTTTTTTTCAGGAACTGAATTGAGAAAGAAACATTACTTTTCATGAATTACATAATTGTTTCCTTGTCTCCCAATATCAATTACTACAAATCTGGAAACTCAATTTAGTTAATCTGTTTGCTGTTGAAACTTCTCAATTTACACCAAGGCTATAGGAAGCTGCTTCTGAAGCTGGAGTTTTTACTTTGGAGGGGGCAACTCATCTTTAGAATTTCCTCCTGCTGCAAGCCAACAATTGAAGCTTTTCCCCTGGTGAAAAGAAGCCGAGGTAAAGATAATAGTGGTATTGGAAACTAAATGCTATGCAGGATGGAAAAAGTTGAGTATGTATAGCTTTCAGAAGAGAATGCTGGGGGAAGACTGATACCAGCAATGGCCCTGATGCCATAACAACACCCTTAACTAAATTGGGGGAGGAGATGTAGTATATTATGGGATACCAACAAGAGAGTCAGTTGACCCATTCAACTAACCTGAAGGGGATAGACTTATCCCCAAATAGACCCTGTCTTGCATAGGGATAAACCATGCAAGTCACCCTTACCATGGGAAACACCAAACCACAGTTGTCCTGTTTTGCCTATTTTGTTATCTAAGAAAAAGAGTTGGGCAGAAAGAATAGCTTAAAAAAGCAAGCCTCTTTGATGTACACTTCCCTACCAATACTTGGCAACACAAATACACATTCCAAACACAGACTGGCTACAGTGCTCAAGCCACACCTACTTTACCTTGACAGTCTTGACAGTCCTTTCTTGCTGCAAGGGCTCATGGAATACTTGAAGTTTGGCAGTGCTCACCTGCTTCAAGGTGCTTCAAGGGCTCAAGGGGCTCATGGGATATCATGGTTTGTGTCTAAGGACTTTATTCCCAACATACAGCCTTGACTCAAGGTAATTGTGTGCTGGCAGAACCACTGCTAAGGAGATTTGAATGGGAAAGGGGGCTGCCTGGGTTAAGTGGGCTCTGTCAATCTGAAGAGTTGTCAGTCACATGAAGAAAAGTTACACTTCTCACAGAGCGTGAGGCATGGAATAAAGGAACAAAGACTTCAGTTGAATATTAGGAAAAGCTTTTGAACATAAGTGTGACTGGATAGTCGAACTGATTGTCTAGGAAGGAGTGAACGTTCAGGCTCTATCCCACTCTGAGTCTACAATGGCTCTGTAAGTGTTTTAAAATCTGCCTTCAGCTGTCAAGGGCAATCATGAATTAGGACAAATACTAGAGAAACTGAAGTGGGGATTCATCATGAATCATGTTGAAGAGACTTCTTTAAATAAAAGTAAATAAAGAGGTTAAGTTCACTGACAGTTTCATGGGAGTTTGTTTTTTGCTTTCAGAGCCAGAATGGCTTAACATTACTAGTAAATATTAGAAGAAATGTTGAGTTTAGGAACTTCTCGCAATTCCTTAATTATTTACATGTCAATTTCATCATCCTTCTTATTACAAATTTGTTACAAATTTAGTGCCCCCTCCCCAGTAATTCCTGAAATGTTCTATCAATTACCCAAGTGCCACAGCACAAAAAGCATCTCCAGATAGTTGACAGAAGGAAAGAAAAGAAATGGCTGTTTTATAAAGTTCTGGACTGCAGTGTGTATGAAATATCTAAGTTGTTGTTGTTGATCATGATCATGATCATAGTGTGGGGAAAATACATTTTTTGGGTGAAGAAAGTAAAATTCTAGAGGCTTCAGATGAATGGGAGCACCTTAATAAAATTGAAACATAAAAGAACGTGCAGCACCCTTGAAGCTGGTGTGAACTACCAAGGCATCTGTCTTGAAGAATGATGTGTTCTTCCTGGCATTTGGCACCTTGAACTGGTTTGTTTCTTCTCAGTAAGGCTATTGTTTTCCTTGTAGATAGTAGATAAACAGGGGCAGAAGGTTACTTGAAATCTATTACTTACTTATGCATGCCTGCATCATCATATGAATATGTATGTATGCATCCTTTTCCCTTCCCCTTTCCTGAAATGTATAAATATCAAAGTCTCTCTTTTGTCTGCAGGGGAGTGTCTCCCACTATTCCTTGGTGGGGTCCCCCTCCAGTACGTATTGTCTAATAAGCACTGCAGTGAAGCCTTGAATATTTTGCATTTGGGTCCTGCATTTTGATTCCACAGAAATCCCAATTCCTTCTTAATTATTTACGTCAGTTTCATCATTCTTCTTATTACAAATTTGTTGCAAATTTAGTGTCCCCCCAGTAATTACTGAAATGTCATATCAATTACCCAAGTGCCACAGCACAAAAAACACCTTCAGATATTTGACAGAAGGAAAGAAAAGAAACGGCTGTTTTATAAAGTTCTGGACTGTAGCGGGTATGAAATATCTAAGTTGTTGCTGCTGCTGCTGCTGATAGAAATAAATATTACCAGCACTGCCTCACCTACAACATGAACAGAGGGAAATTGTGGCCTCCTAGATCTGTGTTGTACTACAACTCCCATCATCTTGACCACAAATTAGGCTGACTGGGGCTGATAGGATTTAGAGTCTAACAATCTCTGGCAACCCATGGTTTCCTGGTAATAAACAGAATCAAGGGCAGATGCCAAGGAAGAGAACCCAGCTGTTCCAAAGGGGAGCACTAGAATGATCCTAGGGAGATATCATTCACAGCTGTTTAGAGGGACTTGTACTTTGAGGGGGTGGCTTCTACAGCAAGACACTAAGTCTCTAGTAAGTCTGCCCTAAGTTATATCTTGGATTGCCACCTAAAATAATTTTAGTTGGCAAAGTTATTCCCAAAATGCTTCTATTGCCAGTAGGCATTCATTATATGAATAGTAATTTACTGCTCCCATAAGTCAAGTACTTCATGAAACAACTGTTCGATATATAGGACGAAGGAAATGCAAGCACTGTACACTTTGAGGGCAGATAAATTGCTTTCCATATATAACTTTTGGCTGATTTTGGCTTGTTAATTGTTTGGTACATGCTTTGGAACATGCCTTTTATCTTTACTCCAGAGTTAGCAAGCTACAATAGTCTGCTATAGTAAAATTTCTAGCCCTGTGATTGCCAGTCACAGCTTTGAGAAGACTAAATACACCAGACTTCAAAACTTTGAAACAAATCTCATTTATTCATCTATTAAGACTGAATGCAATGACAGTACATTGTCTCTCACTAGCCTATTATATCATGTGCAAAGAGAAAAAGTGAGAAATTGGGGAGGCTCATAATCTGGGAAATAAAAAAAAAGAAAGTTAAACATTAAGCTCATTTTGTTATAAAAACCATTAAGAACATTACTTATACTAACAAATGCTGAGGTACTATATTTTTAGACTACATATCCTATTTGCGGTTGTCTGCATAATGAAATACATCTTATTTAAGGCAGAAAGGAAAGTAAGTCGGCTGGAAAATCTTTTGATTTTAAAGAGAACATAATCTGCTTTCATGACATGTCAGTAAAAAAACTGAAGCAATGGCAATGTATCTGACCAGCAATATGATGCTAGGATAAAGAAACACACTGGACATAGCAAGCTACTTCTGAAGAGCCATTAATTAATAGGTAAAAAAAACCCCAAACATCTCCAGATTGCTAAAATGTTACTATGGCTGAGCGTAAGGTAAAACTGTTCAGCTAATTACTTAAGTTTATGTATTGAAACTATTTGGAAAGGCTATGAAACTGAAGAGTTGGATGACAGATATATCATTCATTTGGTAGAAATGTTGTAAGACGACAGCCATGCTAGTCTATGTGACAAAGGATCAAGAGGAATCTGGTAGCATCTTTCCTGCCTACAGATTTTATTAAAAGCCATAAGCTTTTGTGAGCTACAGCTCACTCTATCAGATGTGATAGATGTGGCTAGACTGATATTTCTAGATCTAGAAGAACAAATAGTGCTGTCTATTTGAATGGGTTACCCAACTCCAGTGGAAATTACTCAAATACATCCTTCTGGTCTACAGGAAGAATATTTTCAATATCCTTTCAACATCCCTTCCACTAAAAATGCAATAGCTAAGCAAATAAACAGAGAGCCGGATTGGTGTAGTGGTTAAGGCACCAGGCTGGAAACCAAGAGACCATGAATTCTAGTCCCACCTTAGGCACAAAGCCAGCTGGGTGATCTTGGGCCAGTCACTCTCTCTCAGCCCCAGGGAGAAGGCAAGGGCAAACCACTTCTGAAATCTTGCCAAGAAAACTTCAGGGACTTGTCACCAGACGTCAACACTGACTCGAAGGCATTAAACAAACAAACACATCAACTATTTTTGTCACCTTTCAATGAGACCCCAAAGCTTTCTGAACCTACTTCCTTAAATCTACCTCATGGTAGGACTAGCTTGAGGGACTCAGCACTGTTGAAGAGAATATAGCAGGATATGTGTAAGGAACAATCCAGGTCACATCTGCTATCAGCAATAATTATCAGGAAAGAAAGAAGGTTTCCATGGTTGTTTTCCAAAAAAATATGAATTTGTAATGGTGGGGACATAAAGAATATTAAAATTAAACTCTTGGAATGTGAAACCGGTTCTTCTGTATAATACTGATATTCTGAGGGAAATTGTTTAGCGTAAAAACCTGTTATACAGAAGCAATAACTAAGCTTTTATTTATTTCAGTTGATGAATAAACTGTTGGAAGCAGTTTGTCTTTCATCTATGGTCTCAAGTTTGGGGATCCGGAAGCTCTCTGAAACCATCATCCTCGTTCCCTTCCAAGCATGACAAGGCAAGGACATTAGTGACAGGATGGATCCAGGATGTTGTTTGTGTCACATGGCTAGAAAACAAACCAACAATTATTCTGATAGATCAACTTCAGATCTTACGCGCCGATAAAGTATACCAGATATTTTTGAAAAAAGCTAGCCTGAAGTTATGAAAAACTAACAGTGTAGTTCCTTGATAAGTGAGACAGATTTACTGAACAGTGATTCAGTTGTTCTGCCAATTAAAAGGTGAGGAGGGGCATGCATTTCAGTATTAAGAAATATACAACTCAGGGATTTTTTAAAAAGCACATTCATTTCTGGAAGTTGAATAGCCACACAGATATTAATTAGAGGAAAGAGATTTGAATAGTTCAGTTGGAAAAGGACCAGCTGCCATAGAATTATCTTTCCCATCAAAGTTAACATTTCAGAATTTCACACATCATAAGTATAATCTCAGAATTTGACCCAAGTATTATCTGACATGTGCCCATTACATTTCAACAGCCATCATGCAAACCAGATCTACAGCTTTATTCATAAATGTTGGTTCATCTTCATGAATGATTATTTTAATAATGGTTTAATTTTTATATTTTACACCAATAAATAGAAATAAAACTTACATTGCCCCTCAAAGAAATAAAATAGTGTGATATCCTCTATCCCAGTGTTTTGCATAAGACATTCCTCCTAGCCCATGACTCTAAGCTAGATTTAGACCACGATCTACCTGTTGGTGAACATAGGCATTGACATGGCTAATTCCAATTTGGTAGGTGAAAAGCAACTACTCCTATTAGCAATGTACAGAGACAGTGAGACTAATCCATTTTTGTAAACCCACTTCACTGTTCCCAGCTCAGAAAGTACATCTTAATCCAGTTATAAGCTTTATGCTTAATTAAGGAGAAAGAGCTCCTCTTCCCAGCTAGGATAAGAAGAATATTGAATAACTAATAGTGAATTCATTCTTTGAGTATGAATCCTTATGTAGCCAAATTGGCACCAATCACACAACACACATGCACAAATGTCACGGCTGGCTGGCTGGCATTCTAAAGAAGAGTATGCCATGCTGTAATCTCTTTCAGCAAGTGCCACATGTATTAACCTAAAATGAATTTATACCCTCCTAATCCACTTGATCAATTTAGGCAGAAGATCAGAGAATATCTCAATTGAAATTCTGTTTCATTAATAGATGTCTATGCATGCCAATTAACTGATCTGAAAAAGAAGTTATTCCTAAATAAGTATATACAGGATTCCATTCTACCTGCCCAATTTAATCAAACCAACTAAGGTAACAATAGGGACCTACAACTTTCCTTGTATAACTAATGCCTTCCAGGTGTTCTCCCTTCTTTGTGGCTGAAGAGGGATGGAGTTCAAAACATCTAGAAAACACCAGGTTCAAAGTTGTACCCTTATGTATAAGGGCTATATACAGTATACGTAAGTGCTACAAAGAGAATTAATTGGTATGTTTCTCAACAGATACTATAAATACTGTATATAGGAACTCAATATTAAGGAAGAAAGGAAGGAAGACTATGCAAAATATAGAAAAGTCTAAGGAAAAGAAAAGCAGGAAATGAGAAAGGAAAAGGAAACTAAATCTAGTTTACACTAACATCATTCACTATAGCTCTTTTCCCCATCTTTCTATCCTTTCAAACCATCCTTTCTTTCACCTCATCTAAACACTGGATGGTCTCCCCTTTAAATTTATAATCTCTCTCTTTTTGAACATCTCATGAGCTCCATCCAACTAGGACCTTCTCATTTTCCCCCTTCCTCTTAACCTATTCACTCCTCCTCCTCTTATGCAATTTGGTCTTCATAATTCTCTGTATGATCAAACCTGAATGTATTGGTCACTCATTTTTATATTCACTCCATTTTTATTCAGCACTGATTCATTCCTGACAATAACTCTTCTGTTTTTAACCACACAAAGTATTTCATTAAGTATTCCATTTCCACTGCATCCAACTTTCATATTTCTCCTCACATATTCAACTCTCACATCAATACAACAGCAGAAGCATGTTCTTATACAATTAGTTTTACTTGTTTTAATTTTCATTCCTAGCATATTACCAACATTTGCACATCTTAAAATTTTTCCATTCCCCCAGAAAAGGGTACAGAAGTTAATCTACTTGCTGCTTATAAATTGCAATGGTTCACTCCATTTTTCCTGTCAATCAAACAATCTACCTTGGTCTTTGATACATTAATTTTCAGATCTGTACTTCTGTTTCTATCACATAATCTATGTAACATTTTCTGCAAATCATTAGCATTCTCAGATATCAACACAGCATTGTCTATATACAGCATTATGCATATATTCATGTCCACAACACAGATCTACTATTTATCATAGGGATTTTGATATCTCTGTTGTACAAGGGAAGCTTATCTTATTCCTCGTTCAGTGTTGAACCTCTTGCTTAAGAGTTCCTTTTATTTTCACACATTTCTTGCCTTCTTCATATATCTCTCCCCTTAGCAACATAATATTTTTCCCTGGAACTTATTCATTCAAAATATCCAATTTTCCCCAAACTAATCTTTGTTTTTTCCATTATCACCATTCACTAGAGTAACATGCGACTATAATCAATCTATCAATTCCTACTTCCACACACAATTGCAAGGGTTGAGCCTGGTGACCCTGACCCTGCACATAAGCAGGTGGAACATGGATTGTACTGTCATGGCTACCATCTTCACTTTTTTTTTTTTTTAACCATAACCTGTAGACACCCCTGATAGCATTAGCTATTTGTGATAGCAAAAAGTAATGTCAGGTAGCTCTATCCATGCTGGAGAAAATGAATTAATACTTGTACCCACAAACTGCTATCATTTGCTCTAAATATTTAAATTTTACAAACACTGTAATGCATTAAATTTTACACATTATTTTTGTCAACAAATATTTTTTTCTACATATAACCAGATCTAAGTCCATGTACCATCTATCACTCAAGAAACCATCCATAAAACATGCCACATTTGAAAGAGAAAAAAATAGTCTTGGGTGGCAAAGGATTTACTGATGAGATAAGTGGAGACAAATCTGGCAAGAGAAACAAATTGAAAGTCAATAGATTTCTAGTATGTGATAAATAAAAAGCAATATTCAACAAAGAGAAAATTACATTATAGTACAATGACTTCAAAACTGCAAAGGTAACTACAAAATGAGGCCAAAGAAAATTATGTGTTTTCTGCAACATCTATTTAGTCAGCAGTAATTACTTGCTTAATTATTAACATTTTATACATTCAACAGTGGCTTTGCTAGTAAGACTAAATTGCAGTTATATTTAAGTGTTGAGGTGCTTGATTTAAGCTTCAATGACCATTATTGCACAAGTTATTGGAGGACTCATTTTGATTTTGCTATTTTGAGGAAAAGATAGTCTGCATTAGGGAGGGGTCAAAGAAGATTAAGGAGAAACTCTTCCATGTGGAAATGTGGCAAAACGGGTGCCAAAAAAAGCCAAACAGTATACCTAACCTTTTAGAAAATACCTCATGTGGGACCTTTGGTTTATCTCTTCCTCATTTAAAATTTGAAAAATTCTAGGCAGAGCCTGTGGTAAAACCTATCGACAAAGTCCCCAAGTAATATTCTATGCTGATTTTAAGAGCAATGTAAAGAAAAAAACTATTTGCCAGATGTACTCACTTTCCTGTATTATCTTTTTATTAGAGGTTAGTTTTCTTCATATCAAAGCTATAAGACAGAGTTAGGACAGAGATATATTCTATTTAGTGCCTTTTCTGTTATGGCACCTGCCCTTTGGAACCCCCTCCCACCCAGGGCTAGGTTGGCCCAGACCTTCTTGGCCTTTTGGAAAGCTCTTAAGACCTGGCCATTTTCCCAGGCCTGGAGGTCAGGAGGATGGTTCAGCCCAAATGGGTTGGTTCCTACTTTCCTTGGTTGGCATAGCATGCTTGTCCTTGCTTTCGGCTACTGTTAATTTTGTATAGTTTTTAAATTTTGTTAGACGCCCAGAGTCACATCTGCAAGATGGGTGGACATACAAATAGTAATAATAAAAAAGATAAGATAAAAACTTCTTTCTTCTTTTTAACTGGTCTTGGGTCAAGCATGCCTTCCATTTTCTCTCCTTTCCCTCCCTGCAACCGTGCATATAAACATTCTCCTTTCTCGCTGCTATAAATAGGGTGTTACTGGACTTTGCTTTTATTGCACAGAACTGACAAGGACACTATAGTTGCCTTCTTTATGGCCATTATTTAAGCAATGCTGCCTCTCTGCTTCTCACCCTTTAATACAATATTGCTTATTCTCATCATCCTTGCCCTTTCCACCCCTCCATTACTGAATACACTTATAAAAGCTGTCTCACAGGATTCTTACTCTATGGATTTGTCAAAGTGGAAGCAATCCATAAAAGCTCTGAAAGAATAAAAATGGTTGCTTCTAAAGGTACTGAGCATAGTTTGATTCCTTTATTCTGTGTCTACCCTAAACCAAGCATCTGCTCATCTGGGAGGGAATCCTTTTTCTTATGTTTACCTTAATCTTTTCTCCACGTTTTCCTCAACCCCTTCCCTGCGCTACATTGCTTCTTGGCCTTTGGGCTAAAATCAAATGTAGTGTAGTATCCCTTTGCTACATTTTTCTCTAAATTTGTTGCCTGACTATTCTGTAAAATCCAGTTATCTTTCATTTTCTGTGCAAATTACCTGCCTCCCCCCCCCCCCAACATACTTGCCAGAGTCACCACAGCCCTTGGCTTTAGAACTCCCAGCTAATCTACAGCTTCATTTATTTGACTTCTCCCAACCCAAACACTCACCTTCTTAAAACAATGGGCTTTTCTTTCTTTTCCATTAAGGAATCCAAAATTGCTATTCTGAATTGTTCCCTCCATTCCCTCCTACCCTCCATTCCTTAGTTAGCAATATATATTAGCCAGTGACATCCTTAATGTGCCTCCCAAATATAAAAATTCAGATGCAACCCACAATTAAAAATAGCATCTTTAATTCTAATATCAGATCTTTTAACATGAAT